TGTTGGTGAGTGGCAACCAGATGGAAGCATGAAAATAATTGATCGGAAAAAGAACATCTTCAAACTCGCACAAGGAGAGTACGTTGCAGTTGAGAATTTAGAAAACGTATATGGTCAAGTAGAAGCCATTGAATCAGTGAGTCAGAACTTTAGCTCAGTGATTTATAAGTCTTCTGACATGTTCTTTATCATCATCATCGTCGTCGTCAATATGTTTGTTTTATATAGATATGGGTGTATGGGAACAGCTTTGAGTCTTTCCTTATCGCAGTCGCTAACCCGGCTCAGCAAACTCTTGAACGCTGGGCCGAGGAGAATGGAATTAGTGGAGACTTTGAATCTATATGTCAAAACGCAAAAGCAAAAGCATTTGTACTTGGAGAACTGGTTAAGACAGCCAAAGAAAGAAAGGTTTTCTTCTTCTTTGTTAAAGCTGTCTTCCGTCTTTTCTTGTCTTTATAATACTCTGCATCTGTGTAGTTGAAGGGTTTTGAGATCATTAGAGCTATTCATTTGGAACCCGTGGCTTTCGACATTGAAAGAGACCTTCTTACTCCTACCTACAAGAAGAAGAGGCCTCAACTGCTTAAATACTATCAGGTAATAAATCGTTTTTTTTTTGAGGTAATAAATCTTTTAAGACGGTTTTCAGCTTCTTTAAATATTAATAGTAAATTTTTACCAAAAAATAAATATATATTAATAGTAAAATATGTGTTCTTTATTGACAGAATGTGATTGATGATATGTACAAGACTGCAAAGGAAGGTCAAGCTTCAGGACAGTAGATTCCTTCTACTAATACTTTTTTAACATTCTAGTTTCATTCATTCTTTCTTTTCCATGATCAGGTGACTTTCTTCATTTCGGTTCTCTAAATAAGGTTTTGTTAATATCTTGGGATGTTACATAGCATCTTGACATGCTACAACATTTCTTACTTTATAATTTTGTTTCAAAATTTCATGTTACTAGACTTTGTACGAACTTTAACCCGAAATCTTGTAATCAGTAGAGAATTAGTTTGGGGTTGTTAACTAGGCGTTTTTGGTTTTTGGATTCTAGTAGATCAAGATCCTCGCCTTACATAGGATGATATATTATTATTTTTAAATTATATTGTATTATTAAGCTTGTACGAAAAAAATTTTTAAATAATGAGAAGGAATACACCAATAGGAACTCAAAGTAAACTACTACATCTATTTACATATGGATGACTAAATATTTTTATATAAAAACTTCATATTTGTTTTTGGAATAGTTGAATCTCAAGAGAAATAATCTTCGTATTAATCTAAAAACACCACACTTCAGACTGAGTTGAGAACGATTGTCACTCTCTTTTTATTACTCCAGTAGGAGCCACCGAAAAAGACAACTCTTTATATTACTCTATTGATAATAACATAGTCAAAAAGATTACGGTTCAATATAATTTCATACTATCTTTCGTAGTGACCATAGTTTGCAACAAGAATTTCATCACCATAAAAGAAGAATCATCAACGATTGAAGCCGTTAAGACCCGTCATCACCATCCGTTATAGATCTGTCAATTACCTTTTCCAAACGGTTCAACTGAACCAAAGATTTTGTCTTTCCAAATCTATTGAAAAAAACATATAAAAGAACAATAAAAAAAAAACTTTTGTCAGATTCAAAATAAATTGGCAATCAAACAAATTAAGTGACCAGAAACAAAATAAATCAAAGAAATTAAAAGAAGTAAAACAAACTAAAAAGTCGATGTTGGAGCTGTAGAAGCCTCCGACCATCGGCTTGAAACAATAATAAATATCTCTTTTTTGTCTCTTGATGGCTAAGGTTTTCAGTGAGGTCCAAAAGAACTTATTTATTTTGTGTTTTTGACATATTATATATTAATGAATATATATATATATATATATATATATATATATTAAATAGTTGAGAAATTAGTAACTATTATGTCTATAATTAAATTAATGGAGGAACATAAATAAATAAATAAATCACACTTTTTATTTATAATCACTTATAATTTATATAAGTACATTTAACTAATAAATGATATTAACATAGATATTTATACATAGTATACATTTTAATTTGGCTATCTATTAAATGAAACTTCATACTTATACAGTTTTATGAGCATTGATATATTTTTATAACGAAAAACTTATACCATTGATAACATAAATTTCAATGGATGTTTATATTTATAGTAATTCAAATATTTTTTAAAAAGTCATTGCAAAGTCTGAAACAAAAGTATTAAGTTCACAATATTTGTTCAATATAAATTTTTAAGTTAATCTCTTTAAGCATTTTAGATGGTATATAGTTTAATTTAATGTCATTAAAAACATATATATATATATATATACAATATGAATATCTATTAAATGATATTCTTACTTATTGATTTTATAAGCCTTTGTATCTTGTTATAAAAAAATTTAAAATATTAATAAAAATATTCTAAGAGGAATTTTTAAAGATTATATTAATTTATAGTCGTTTTACAAAATTAAAAATATAAAATATATGAAAATATCAATTTTTATTATATAGTTAATGTGATTATTTAATTTATTTTCACAATAGAAATTTTTAAAAAAGAATAGAGGCTACATAAGTTTTTATCAAATATTTCTTATTCAAACCATTAATAGTCATAATATATATTTTAACTATATTAGGTAATTACGTAGCTCTCATTTAAGGAAATAATGAAGAATATTAATAATAATCTTATGGTCAGTTTAATAAAAGGGAAAATTGCCAAATATGACTCAAAACTTGATTTGAAATGCAAAAGTAAACCCAAACTTGAATCAAATGCAAAAGTAACTTAAAAGGCTGTTGAAATTACAACCAACCCCTTGTGAACAAACAAAAAAAGAGTTTTTTTTTTTACGTTTTTAGCCTTCACAAGTCGTCCAGGCGACTTATTTTGAAGTCGTCTGGGACAGTTTTTCTTAAAAATAATTTAAAAATTGTGTAATAAATATTTTTATAAATGAAAAATTGGAATTATGTAATTAACATATGTCTTAAGAGATATAAATTAATATATAACAAAATTCAGTTGTTTTCAGCATAGATGAGTGAAAGTAGTGAGTCATGATATTCTTTGGTTTAGGTTTCACCAACATATGTTGTAGTATTGTATGTGTTTCTTAGGGTTAGATTTTTGAAAGCATAAATGTTTTTT